TTACCTGTAATCCTGAGTATTGTTACCTGTAATCCTGAGTAACGTTACCTGTAATCCTGAGTAACGTTACCTGTAATCCTGAGTAACGTTACCTGTAATCCTGAGTAACGTTACCTGAAATTCTGAGTAATGTTACCTGTAATTCTGAGTATTGTTACCTGTAATTCTGAGTATTGTTACCTGTAATTCTGAGTAATGTTACCTGTAATTCTGAGTATTGTTACCTGTAATTCTGAGTATTGTTACCTGTAATTCTGAGTAATGTTACCTGTGATTCTGAGTAATGGTACCTGTAATTCTGAGTATTGTTACCTGTAATTCTCAGTATTGTTACCTGTAATTCTCAGTATTGTTACCTGTAATTCTGAGTAATGCTACCTGTAATTCTGAGTAATGTTACCTGCAATTCTGAGTAATGTTACCTGTAATCCTGAGTAATGTTACCTGTAATTCTGCATAATGCTACCTGTAATTCTGAGTAACGTTACCTGTAATTCTGAGTAATGTTACCTGTAATCCTGAGTAATGGTACCTGTAATTCTGAGTATTGTTATCTGTAATTCTGAGTAATGCTACCTGTAATTCTGAGTAACGTTACCTGTAATTCTGCGTTATGTTACCTGTAATCCTGAGTAATGGTACCTGTAATTATGAGTATTGGTACCTGTAATTATGAGTAATGCTACCTGTAATTCTGAGTAACATTACCTGTAATTATGAGTATTGTTACCTGTAATTCTAAGTAACTTTACATGTAATTCTGAGTAACGTTACCTGTAATTCTGAGTATTGTTACCTGTAATTCTGAGTAACATTACCTGTAATTCTGAGTATTGTTACCTGTAATTCTGAGTAACGTTACCTGTAATTCTGAGTATCGTTACCTGTCTCTGTGTGTTGATGATGTGAACTATAGAAACATATCCAGGCTGGCCCATGTGCTGGATGGGTGAGCCCTCCCAGTTCCATATGGGAGCCTGCAGGAGGTACTTCTTCAGCTCATCTCTCTTCCAGGGCTCATCACACGGCAGCTAGCAGACAAACATGTTACCTGAGGGGATAGCTCATTTATTCACAGCTGTAAACACACGCACAACAGTTAGACATTTACGAGATATGAGAGCACGCAGTGAGAGGGGCTCATGTTCTGAGTCATGGACTTGGATCTTCTGTCTTCTATGTGTTGCATCCAGCCCCGTAGCTCTGCAGCACTGGGACATACGAACACCTTGGGGTCCACCATTTGGCCTGGATAAAAGAACAAAACAACATTAAACACGATCAGGCGCTGACTTCTTAGCTGAGCTCAGAATTTTACGACAACTCACTGCTGATCTCGAACATGTGCATTGGCTCTAACAGGTCAGAGTCCTGAGATATGACTCGGAAAGAAAGTCCAGAAATGGGAAGGATGCCCTGCAGGAGGAGAAAAAGGTTAAAAATGTTGTTKGGCTTTAGCTTCCATCTGATCTTAAACTTTTCAACAACAGAAAGTAACATTTACAATAAAAGTCTTTATCTAGTAAAACTCTTACCTCATATGAGACGTCTTGTTGGGAGTGATCCAGAGAAAGGATCAGAAGGTGAAAGGAGAACAACACCAGGAAGCGTTCACTGCTTTCCTGTAAAAACCAACATGAAACATCACATTGACATAAAAACTGATCTTTTATCCACAGAAAAATGTTCTGTTCTCATCTTACCTGTGTGTAGCTGTTGTAAAGGGACACCAGGGAGGAGTGGATGATTTCTCCATACAAGTGAGCAGGTTGGCCCTCCCAGCCTCTGATTGGCTGCTGAGAGTAAATCCTGTGATGGAGCTCATTTCTGCTCCTGCCCCACAGTACCACCTGGTGGGACAAAAAGGTGTGAGCACAAATCTGCTGATTAGTTCACTCACCATCTGAAATACATAAACTTAGCGCAGACGTTTGACAGATTTTTTTTTCTTTGTTGTAACAAGGCTACTTGGCACCTGAACAAGAGTCGATAACAGCAAAATAAGCTGAGTGGAATATTAGAGAAGATTTGGCACATTTTCAACGTGCACAACCCACATCCTCWGCTCTACTGCTCATCCCACAAAAGCATGTTCCTTACAAATGGGCACCATTTAAAATATAAATTAACAGGCTTTCTAACAGTATAAGATTTATTACCATGAAACATTGTTACAACAAAAAAAATAATCTATTAAACCTGAGGTTCCTTATTAATATATTCTGATCACACAGTTTCAGCAGATGACCTTTTTATTAATTAATTAATCAATCAGGACAGTGCATATTAATGAGCAATCTTATACTTCTATAAAGACTGTAAATAGTGACTCTAGATTATAACATAGTTACTAATTTCCATCTGTAGTCTCACAAACACATTAGACATAAAGTCTAACAAACAAAGACAATAAGATAAAGAGACAATAAGACATAAATACAATGACAAAGAGACAGTAGGACTTATAGACAATGGAACAAATACAACAAGACACGAAGACAACAAGACGGAGACAATAAGAGACAAAGACAATAAGCTATAAAGACCGTAAGACAGAGACAATATGAGTTAAAGACAAATACAAAAGGACATCAGACAAGACAGAGACGATTTTAGAGACAGAGGCAATGAGACATAAAGATGATAACACAAAGACAAAGGAACATAAAGACAACAGGATAAAAAACTACAAGACATAAAGACAATACAAAAAAGATAATGAGACAACGACATCAGGACATGAAGACAACAGGACATAGAGACAATAAGAKATAAAGACAAAAAAGATGAAGATGGTGACAGAATGACAATGACAAAAATCAAAAGTACTGAAAGACAGCAGGACAAAGATGACAGGACATATATACAATAAGAGGTAAAGCTATTTAAGACAATAAGACAGAGACTGTAAGACATAAAGACGATATGACAAAAACGACAGGATTTAAAGACAACAGGAAATAGAAAACAGGACATGGAGACAACAAGATAGACAGTAAGAGATAAAGACAATAAACCATAAAGACAATAAAATAAAAATAAGACAGTTTGACCAAAAACCAACAAGACRTGAAGACAATAAGACATATTTTTGAACATTGTTAGTTTAAATTGTTTACTAAACAAGAAAATGTTTAAAGCTTTCAATAACTCAGCTTTAAATGTTTTTAATGTGTAAAATGTGACAAAAAGAGCTTTTTAAACACCAGGCTGATATCGAGCTCCTCTCGCCTCGGTCTGAGCGACAGGAAGTGTGAAGTGGTTACTGAGGCTGAACGTTCTGCAGGTCTGTCCTCGGCTGGAGGGACAACGTTCTCATTTTCTACAACGAACAGAGAAGAAGCCGGGGCTTACGAGACCTCCTGGTCCAGGTGTTGAGCTGGAGGTTTGAGCTGCTGCTCCTCTCTGCTGCTCCTCGCTGACAGCTGAAGCCTGGTCTCACTCAGACTCCTCACACTGAAACCACACACACACACACACACACACACACACACACA